AAAAAAAAAAAAGACATGCGTGTCCATCAACCTAAACAATAATCTAACGATCTCTACTGATTGTATGAATCAAAAAATCGGATAATTCTTTATCTTTAGGGAAAGATAATTCCATACTTTTAAACATTTTTACAATTCCCTTTGCAATTTGTTACAAAGATCAATAAGGCATTGGTTCTATTTTATTAATTCAATATTTAAAAGAAAAGATTTTAAGAAATAATTTAAAAATGTAAAAATCATAATTCAAAAAAAATTATTATATTTCAAGATGATAAATTAATAAAGAACACAGTATTGTAATAAATTAATAAACCCAAATAAAGTTAATATTTTTGTATTAGAAACAACGAGTGGAAAATATATTCAAATCAGAATTCTAATTATGAATCACCACAAGCAAAATATGCAATTTTTTTTACTGTATTCAATAAAAAAATAAAAATCATAAATTGTAAAAGATTACAGAAAAGGCTACCTACATTTTTCAACCGATTTCAACAAAACTTCACTTTTTTTGGCAGGTAGTGTTTTCTTATTGTCTTGCACATTTTTTTTTTTTTATTTTTACATTCAGAATGCTTTAAAAATTCCATTTACAAGACAATTGTTTATAATAAAATTTCTATTCATCATCGATAGACTCATAACGATTGAAAACAATGTTTTTGTTTGAGTTTGGGTTTGACCAATTCAAAAAAAAAAAAAAAAAAAAAAAAAACACACTAATTAAGACATGCATGTCCGTCAACCTTAAACAATAATCTTTGTCAATTTTATTTTTCAGTCTTTATGATGGTGGATACTTGATCTATCTCGGGCTCTACTGCTAGTATTAGATATGGCATCCAAATTATTTTTCCTGTCATTTATTATAGATTATTTAGAGCTTCAGTGACCTTATTCAATTGTTTTTTATATGTCATTTTATTACTGTTCGAAAATTGCTCAAAAATTTTTTGAAATTTTAAAACTACAGTTTTTCATGACATCAGCAGACTAGTTAGGCAGTTTAAGAAAAGGTTTATATTTTTACCATATATTCTTACATATCTGAAGATTATGCACCAGAAGTTTTGTTTTGTAGACAAACTTCTCTCTCAGGTGAAATCATAGTTTTTCCCAGTTTGGCACCTTATACATATGATACTCAAGAAATATGAAGCTGAACATTGGTATAACCAATTTTTGGCTTCATTTTACTTTTCTTTCAAATAGTTTAGACGAGCAGCATGGCTCGGCGTTGCCCATGCTTGATTCAAAAATCGTACAACTCATACAGCAATCACTATCACTTGACTTAAAAATATTTTTTACCATTCCTTGCCTTTTTAAAGGAGTGCCCTTTGCCATGCTGATGTTGTTACATGCCTTACTTCTTGCCTATCTCACACTTTCAAATTTTTTCTAAGCTCTAAAAACATTAAATCTGTTACGAAAAAAAAACTAAACAAAATGAACACAAAAAAATCATCAGCTTTAAAAAGAAACTTGTAACTGGAAAAACTGAATGAAAAAAGAATGTTAACAACACTTTTTCACACCCAACCCAGTTCTGCGGAATCAGAATCAACGTTGAGTTTAAGCAAGCGAATGAGCCAATTGGAGTAAAGTGCCATGCAGATTTAAATTTTTCCCACTTGTGACGAATGCAGCAATCGATTTTTTTTGCATGCTAGCATGCTAGTTAACATTCATGTCAGTCAACTGTTGGCTCTCACACTAGCCAATAGAATCTTCCTGCCTATTCGTGGCAGCCAGCTATAGGCTCTCACTCTGGCCAGTACAAAATGGCTGCAAACTACATGAAAACTGTCATAGAAGCATGAAAAAATTTTTTCTATTTCCACTATCGATGGGGTTGAAAATGTAAAGTCAGTCTTGGCCTTCCCTGCTAACTTGGAGCATGTGCATGTAAATTTTTATTGCAAATCCATCAAAAACTGCAGCCATGCATTCGTTACACACACACACACACACACACACACACACATCTTGCCTTTTATAGATAGAGATTTATAGACAACATTAGTTTATTGGTGATCATATTCAAATACAATTTGCATTTAAATGCAAAGTTTAATTTGTATGTAAATGTAAGAAAGAGATAGAGAGAGATATGAATATATATATTTTTTCTTTGAAAGAGATAGAGAGAGAGAGAGAAAAAAAGGCATCCTGAGATTTAGAGAGATTCAGAGTTTCAAGAGATAGAGAGAGGTGGTTAATTTTAGGGCTTTTTTTTTAGAGACAGAGAGAGATGGCAAACACTGAGAGATAGAGAGAGAGGTGAATAGAGATTAAAAGAGATAGAGAGAGATGGAGCAAAAAAAGAGATAGAGAGAGAGGTAAAAAAGAGCAAAAGAGAGATAGAGAGAGGTTCTGTAGAGCAAAAAGGATAGAGAGAGAGTCAAGTAGAGCAAAAAGAGATAGAGAGAGAGGTAAAAAACAGAGCAAAAAGAGATAGAGAGAGAGGAAAACTATTAGCAAAAAAGAGATAGAGAGAGGTGTGTAAAGAATAGATCAAAAAGAGATAGAGAGAGAGAAAAATTAAGCAAAAAAGAGATAGAGAGAGGTGTGTGTGAGAGAAAGAGATAGAGAGAGGTGTGTGTGAGAAAGAGATATGTGTGTGTGTGTGTCGGATTGAATTCAAATTATTTGCTACAAATTTTCCAAGCTGATAACTATAACTTCTCACTTCTATTTTATCAGTGTTCCCACATGAAATTCCAGTTTTGTTTTCTTTTGCATCCAATCTCAAATCAGTTCTTCACATATGCTCAACACACTAGCCACCATTATTAACAAGGATCAGTCGGCTGTTTTTGCACTTTCTCCAATGAGCTGGTACGTATTTTTACACTTGTAAAGAATTTAAAATCAGAACACATTTTCAGGCAGAAATCTATTTAGGATAAGTGACATTTGGTATTAGAGAATCAATAGGGTAGAACTGAGTAAGTATTCTTTTATGTGCCCTGTCCCATCAAGATGTGGGCTATCATGCCTCTCCATAACTTCCTGTTCTTTGTCGTTCTAAGAAACATTTGACACTTTATCATCACTCCTTGTCACTGCTCTGCCATCCATTCACACAAACCCATTATGTAGGTTTGTTTCTATATGCCTTTCCTCCTTTCAATATGTCTTGCAAGTGTTAAATTTTCCAAACCCTTTTTCCTCATGTGTTCAGAAATTTCACCTCTTTCTAATTTTAAGTTTTCTAGTTTGCATTTTCTTTAGAACTTCCTCATTGCTCACATGTTCAGTCCATGGTATAAACCAAGTAATACATTATTCAGAAAGTGATCTAATTTTGGAAACTGTATAAAAAGGCATTTAAATATAATAAAACTTTTATGTGCTAAGCCAGCTGAGTTGGGAAGCAATGTCCTAATTTAATGATTTGATATTCTCATTTATTTTACCAAGTGTTGGCTTTTATTGTTATTCTTCAGGCTGAAATACAATACTCTATGCTTATTTTTGACTATTGATAAAGATTTTGTTTATTGACTTGCCTTATAAGGGCATTTAATATGAAGGGGGTTCTGGGAAAATTTATTGACCAACCCCATTTTCCAAAATCTAACTAATATTTCAAACTTCTTAGTCAAACCAAGAACTTTTAGTACTTCCTTGTAGATTAAACCTACCATATTCCATTGACTACTTACCAAGAAATTGAAATAAAATTTCTATTCAGAATTCCAAATTCTTTCACCAAAGTGTTAATTTCATAATAAACTTTTGTAATTGCTGATTATATATTGACAAATAAATTTAACTTTAAAATTTCTTTATATTTCAACAGATTTTTTTTTTTTTTTTACTTGCCCTTAAAAAAATGATAATGCTTTCTGAAAAACATAATTAAAAGGTCATTTCATCTGAACAGTAAGTTTTGTTTGTAAAATTCACTAGTGTAACTTTTTTCTTTTTAAATTGTGGCTGTGGACTGATGGGCATAGTAAGTTGCAAGGAAAATCAATTGAAGTTACGATGACGATACAAGTGAAAAACTGATATCAGTTGACAATGTTTCATCATATAAAAGTTCAAGATTATGATGGTAGTAGTAGTGTACATAAGAACTCTAGCATCAAATACAGCACTGACCAGTCAGGGAAATTAAAGAGTCATCAAGCTTGTGATTCAAGGAATAGCGCAAGTGATATGGAAAACAAGCAAAAAACAAAAAACAAATCTCTCCAAGAACTATTCTTTATTCTAGATCCATAGTGTTTGCTGATGACCATAAACTGATGGTTCAAGTAGGTTCAATAAAAAGCAACTAAAGCTGGAATGAAGGAGATATTCATAAAAAATTAATGGTATAAATGTTCTCCATTGATAAACTTCAGTATTAGAATTATTGAACCACAGATACATTTATTGGTCATTAACATTGCTAAATTTTAAAACAAAAACTACAATTAAATTACTAATAAATGTTTTTCTATCTGCCTAGATTCCATAGTAAGGATGAAAAATCAAAACATAAATGGGAAATAATTTGAAGTTCTGCAACTCCAGCCTACATAACTGATCTTTAAGGTAACAGGATTCAAATTATAGCAGGGAGACAAAAAGTTTTTAAGATTTGAAAATATAACTAAGTGAAAATAAAATATCTCATTTACATCGAAAGTAAAAGAACAATTTAAATTATTCCTTTATATGGGATTGTCTATTGTAAAAATGCTATATTTCTGGTTATATAGAAAGAAGAAAAGAGTAGGTGAAGAGGGAAAAAATAAAACAAGAAATATTGTTGATCTTCAGGCTTATGAGTTAGAAATTGGAAACCTTCAGATGTACTAGAGGCTTAGTATCAATGCCATTTGTTGAAAATTTAAAAACTGTGTTTAATGGGCAGCTTTTATTGAAACAATGTAAAAGATGGTTATTTTCTCAAGACAACATGAATTTATTATTTTTTTTAAGATTTTTTCTTACTATTCTGACATATATGATAGGTGATATGTAAGGAATTTATAGTCAAATCATACTGAAAGGACTAGTTCTCATTTGATCACCAAAGTTAAGCAGTGTCAAGCTTGGTCAGTACTTAACAGGGGAAGCACTTGGGAACATTGGGTGTTGCAAACATTAAGGGAGTAAACCAAAAATAATGAAAAATAAATAATAAAAAAAATAAAAATAAAAAACAAAACACTTTTGGAATGTGGGGTAGTTAGTAAAAGATGATGGTGCATACAATGATAGACTGTTGTTTTAGGTCACAACTTACATCTAGTTGACAGAAGAACATCACTGTCAACAGCAAGGAGACAGACTCTAAATAAGACACTGTAACCATTAATATATGCTAATTGTATAAAGTCACTTGGAATGCAACTGAAAAACATTATGATTACAGAGTCTAACCATTCCACATAATGTTTGAAGAGGTGGATGATGTAAAGTGTGACTTTTCACTCATCCTGTATTTCTTCACTAATATCAATGACTAGCAGTAGAGCCAGGCGTTGCCCGGGAATGTAACAGTAAGAGATAGATCAAGTATCAACCATCATAAAGACTGAAAAATAAAATTGACAAAGATTATTGTTTAAGGTTGACGGACACGCATGTCTTAATTTGTATTTTTTTTTTTGTTTTGTTTTTTTTTTTCACGAATTGGTCAAACCCAAACAAAAACATTGTTTTCAATCGTTATGAGTCTACCGATTGAATAGAATTTTTCAATTTTATTATAAACAATTGTCTTGTAAATGGAATTTTTAAAGCATTCTGAATGTAAAAATAAAGAAAAAAGTGTGCAAGACAATAAGAAACACTACCTGCCAAAAAAAAAAAAAGTGAAGTTTTGTTGAAATCGGTTGAAAAATGTAGAAATCCGATCCCATATATAAAGGACACACACACACACAACAACAACTGGGTTTTATAATAAGTATAACTCGATATGAGTTGACCCCTTTCATTCTGGTGACAGTGATGCCTCTTAATCGTGTTTTCAAATTGATTTCATGCAAAAACAATTGTGTTTTTCCAATTTTTGGCACTGTCAGAACCACCACAAGGTAATTTTACGTAGTCCTGTGAAGTTTTGTTGAAATCGGTTGAAAAATGTTGGAAATTCGATCCAATATATAAACAAACAGATACACACACACACACACACACACACACACACACACACACACACACACACAAACCTGGGTTTTATAATAAGTATGATCTTCAAATTTTTTAGTACAAGGGCAACTGGGGGCAAAAATCAGTTTTATAAATGAATAAATTTTTATTTGAATCTTTTCTGTAATCAACATATGATTCAGAATAAAAGAAGAAATGTAACCGTTACAAAGAAACAAAGTCACGCTGAGAAATGATTGATCTGACAATATTGATTATTTGCAGATGAGAAAAAACTAGCTATTCCTTTATAAATATTTTATACTACTGCAAATCTTGTGGTAGGCAGATGCAGCCTGGAGATCCCAGTGATCATTTTTATTAACAATGCAATGCCTGCATTATTATATTCATTGAGCAGAAAAAAACGTTTTTATTTAAGGGTATCAGTTATGACAGTTTTTTTTTTTTCTTTTCTCATAAAAAGTTTAAATATAAGGTGGTATTCGGAACAAACTTCATATCTCAACAACTATAAGAATGTAAACATACAATGGGGCCCTTTCCCAGTTTTCCACTAGTCAACCAATGACTACACAACATTGCATCTCTATTCTTCTTTGCATTAGTGTGTACTAAAAACTGGGAAAAGTATGCTGCAAGCTCACAAGGAATTGGAAGATGAAATCAAGCACCACAGTGAGAAATTTAGGTGTTTATTCAGGGATTCACATGCTCAGCCCATGTGAGTAGTTACATGACACTTGGGGTAACTTCTGCCATGTCAGACTAACAGATCAGCTCTTCCCTCCTACCAATTCTCTGCCCATCACAGCATCAGGACATGTAACTGGCAACATAAACAAGCAAAATTAGAACTAAATGAGGGACAGTGTCACCGAACAAGGGCAGACCAGAACTGACTATTTCAATCCTAACTGTTACCATTAATATAGACCAACAACTGGAAATTTTCAACATCCGGTTTGTTGTCACTTGACCCCAAAAGTTTTTCTTTATTTTTTTTTTTTTATATTCCATTTTGGTCAAGCATTTTGAAAACCACACCAGAGAATTATTGTTGGTCATAAAAAATGAAACACTTGAGAACAGGATAAAATCTCACTCCCCTCCCTCTATATGGGTGTCCTAATAAGTGTCACAAGAAATCACTTTGGAAATAAAATACCAAAGGAATTTATGTTCTCCTTTATCTATAAGGAAAACTTGAACACAAATACACACAAAATGCTTTGATATAGTCAGTTTAAGTGCAGTTGTAAACTTCTCAAATTCATTGTGCAATATAACTTATGATTTGTACAGTTATTTTTTTTTTTTTCAGGTTTTCAATCCAAAATGGGTTTTAGCCATATCACATTGAAACACAGGTTCTCATATGATGACTGAAATTAAGCAATGTTGAGCCTGGTCAGTACCTATATGGGTGACCACTCAGCAATTCCAGGTACTGTAAGTTTGAATGTGTGGGCGGTGTAATGGGTAACGACTCAGAATTGGAAAGCCAAGTTCCAATTCCAGTCAGGTTTGCTATATTCACTTACATGCAAATACTCTTGGGAAAAGTAGGAATCCACCTCAAGCTATGGGCTAAATAATTAGACTTGTATCAGAAACTCATTATTATCCATAAAAAATTCTTACAATCAAAAAATATTTTCTGGCTTTAAATAACCAGCAAAAGGTTGATAAGCTGTAAAAAAAAAAACCAAATCAATCAATCCAAAACATTGACAATCGTACATACAAAATCAATATTAAAATTGTCCATGCATTTTTTAAACGATTTGGTGTTAGTTGTTCTGAAAGAACAAACAAGTTTTATGGTAGAAAATAATGAGTAAAATATCTTAAATTCGTTATTATTTAAGCCTTCAAATATTGATAAGTTCTACATTAATCTTGATAAGCTCAAAAAAAAAAAAAAAAAAAAAAAAAAAAAAAAAAATTAAAACAATAGTTATATTTTTGTTATTACGAACATTTCTATTATATTTAACTCCAAGATTATTTTTTCATGCTTATATAAAAATCAATGATATGAGAGGGAAAAGACTGAAATAAACAAAGAATAAATATTTAATCAGTTAATAAAAATAAAAAAAAATAAAAAAAAATTATTACATCAACAAAGATATAAATAAGCAAAAACCTACCACACTATTATAACTGTTTTCTGGGAAATCTCCATTTGTTTCTGATCCATGATGCCGAACTGCAAAAATAAAATAAAAGGTATTATTATATTATGAAAAAGTGCAAAATATAAGTAGTTAATATAATATATATATATATATATATATATATATATATATATATATATATATATATATATATATATAGAGAGAGAGAGAGAGAGAGCATTGAGTGCTGTTGCTAATAGTGTTCAATATTATAACAACAGAGCTAAAATTTATATTAATAATATACATTTTTCCTAACTCTGAGTTTCATGCTAGAAAGAGAGACACTTAAGGTTTGTAAAGCATACTGAGGTGTGAAACTGACAGTCACTATGAAGTGTTCATTTCCATGTCCACACTGTCTATATTTATAAATGATTATATATATTTAAAAATTAGCTAAATTTATGGGTTCAATACTAAAGATAGAACATTAAACAGTGTGAGCCTAGAAATTAACACAAGGTTTCACACTTCCACTAGGGTCTATATATGAAGCTTGTGCAAGCAGTGACACATGGTCTGAAGATTGATTGAGGGATGAAATTGACAGTCACAATGCAGTGTGAATTTCTACATCTATACTGTGTTTGTATATGGGCACGTGGCCAAGTGGTTAGAACATTTGCATTCTGACAATAAGATCCAGGTTCGAATCTCACCATGGTTGATTTGTCAGGAAGGAAACTTCCTGATGTTATCGAACTGGAGTGGTTGATCCCAGCGTGTGGCACCTTTGGAAAGTGCCTGAAAATCATAGCATGAGTTGACCCAAGCCTTGTGAGTAAAACTGGGTAGATGGAACTCTCAGGTGCCATCAATAGCTGTGCTAGTACAAAGTCACCAGTTATCGTGGCCGAGGACTTGATCATGCTGGCCCTGTTCAGATTGTTGATCATGCTAGATAACACGCTCTTTCCCAGAAACTGTAACTATGGTTTGCTCAGCATAGTTGCAATATAAACCATAGGTGGGCTCTGTGGGTGTTGAATAAGCACAAATGAGACTGAGCAAGCATCTGTAATAGGGATTGGCTATCTGCCCTAGTAGACAGGTATCCTCAAATATGAGTGGCCAGCTATAAACAATGTGTGTATAATGTAATCTACACTATACATTGTATACAAAAATCAAAATAAAGACAGAAAGAATAAAGATAAAATGAATACCATTCTAGAATTAATATACTGAACTGAATTAAATTTTTCAAATTTTAAAAAATACAAATAATTTTTTTGAAAAATCTTAGATAATAGAGTTAACTAATTTAAACATTAGAAATTTGGAATTATTGATACTTTTTGTGCCAGTTCCCTTCAAGACATTAATAATCCAGTGTGTTCTACTATTTAACCAATTTAAGTTGAATGCTCTGAATTTTAAAGTATGTAGCTTAAAATTGAAATAAAGAAGTAATATCTGATATCCATAGAGTGTATGTCATTAATTGGTCCCAGAATCAAACAGCTAGACAGGCAAGAAATCTGCAGTCACTGCTGCCTCCATTTTCCAGGTCCTTAGTTTTTGTTTTTACAACTTGTAATAATTTTAAATTACTTAAATTCTACTGTTTTGCTTCCTCTGTGAGAATTTCTTCTCACACAGTTCAACCCTTGGCAGAGACAAGAAAGACATACAATCAACAAGGCCTACCTTAAAACTTAAAACAAATTTTATTGTATCCTTGCAAAAAAAGATTTTGCTTTTTTTTTGCCCCTGGGAACAGGGTGGGTAGTTCTTCAATGAATAGGTAGTGTCTTTTACTTCAGTAGGACTCGATTGGTCTCTACGAAGTTGGAG